CAAGAAAGCAGTTTCCAGTGAAACTAAGTTCTCTATCACTATAAACAAATCTCAAGGTCAGACAATACCACATGTAGGCGTTTACCTTCCAGATCACGTCTTCAGTCACGGACAATTATATGTGGCTTTATCGAGGGGGGTCTCAAAGTCAACCACAACTGTGTTAGTAAAAAATAGCTCCATAGTCGGCCAACAAGGTGTATTTACACGGAATGTAGTATACAAAGAAGTCTTGCTTCATTCCAGCTAATTATGGTGATTCCTAATAGGTAACAACTTTATTAACGATAACATTTCAATATGCATTTCTCACTTATCATTTAACTCTTTTTATTTGATTTTTAATTTTCTCACTATTGTTTGTAGATTGGCAATGAAAATTTGAAGCGTTAATCAGGAACAAATGGGTGGAAATTGCAGCATTGATGTCAATTTTCATACCAAAAGAAACAGTGACATATAGACTTTATGGGTATTGTGAAAAATGTACATATTGTGATGTAGGTTTTATATTTTGACATTTAAGTTGTTTTGTATTTTGCTACGAGTACTTAATGTTTTCATCTACTAAACGATCTTAAAATTAATTGATTTTTAGTAGATTTGACCTTTGAAGAATGACTTAAAAAATCTACAGTTTGGACCATTGTGTAACATTGCACGATGAAAAAGAGAGTCAATAATGTAGAATAAAGAATTTCAAATAAGAAGATTGTTGACATTCCTTTTTAAAATTTGAACATGTTTCTCTTTGAGATTTGAACTCGTAACCTCCTCGAATAAACTAAAGACAAGTTGCTATCAAATGATCGTTTGCATAACCTTATGGAGGTCGCTATTACATCACCACTTCCAATGTCAAACAGAAGACAAAGCCAAGGACAACACCAGTGACTTTAACGCCGCCATTACACAACCACCGCACAAATCTAAGCATGATGATCTAGGTGGCAAGCTCATGGATTCGTACGGACAATTATTGCCGTCATTAGTCATGTATAGCAAGAAAGAAGAGGCCACATAAGAGTTCCTTTTGGGACCAAACAAGCATCTCATGGCAGCCAGGAGTTGTAGAAAAAGGGACGATGCGCATGGATGCATAGAAGGCTTGCTGGAAATGAATGTTTCTCTTTCTTTTGTTGATCACCCTCAATGCGATGACGGTAGAAGGATTAATTGAAGGAAACCAATATAACATGGGGTTCTAAAAGTCTGTTTAAAGGTCAAAAGGAGGCTCCCAAAAATCTACTGCACAAAGGGCTCCATGTTTTCCTATTGTTTCTATGGAGTTCGTAGTGATAACAAAGAGCATTGTTGCCTTCCTCATATAATGATCGCTACTCTAAATATTAAGATATGTTGCTGCTTCGAAGATCGAAGACATGTCGCTGCAATTTTCTTAAAAGTCTATAGAGCTTTCATAAGTTCCATGAAGAAAGGAAATGCAAATAACACGTGATGAAGAGCAAACAAATAGGGATCCCATGCATGCGATTCCCTAGAAAAAGGGACAAAATATTATTAGAAAATGGTGAAAGGATGGCAAATCCTAATCATGCATCACCATAAGTTATTAATTTTAGTCATCATTATGTTTGATTCATAAGTCAAATTTGTGGAGTTTTAAATACACCGAAGGCTGTAGCAAGGGAGGAAAATATGAGCTTCTTTAACTTGTAGAATGCACCTCACGTGGGACTTGGAGTCTTACTTTATGTCTTCAAGTCCTAAGCTACTTAAGGAAAAGACAAATCAAGGTCCTATTTTACAAAGCCTATTAGACGATTACCGAAGGTCACATATATGGGTTTTAAATAAATCCAATTGGCTTCTCATTTTGCCAAGTCTGAATGCAAGTCTACCAATCCAAATCAAATATTTCATGAACTCCGCCGGTTTGATTTCGTTAAGGATACGTAAGTAGTATGATATCAAATTTTAGACACAACCATGAAACCGGAACGAATCCCTGGTTTGTATAAACTAAATTCACTCCTGCTACTTTGACCAAGTAATTACAAATTCTACAAAGAGTACATTTCCTAGATTTCCTTTTAATGGATGCTGCTCACGCAACAAAGTTCCTAATTTTATAGGGAATGTTGCTCATATGAAGAACAAAGAAAAGATGAGATGGAGACAAACTTATAGGGGTCCCAAGACAAAGAAAAGCTAGGAAGAAAAAGTGGGCAACCCCACCTCATCGACACCAAACAAAAAAAAAAGGGGAAGAAAAAGAAGTGCAACAAGACAAGTCAAAGCACCATCAAGTTCCCTTAATAAAAAGTGAATGCGGCGTGGCTCTAAAACCCTTCTAGATGTCATACTCAAATTCTAATTAATGGGTCATTTACCTATTAATTATTCAAATCCCAAATAGCACGAAGCCGTATCAAATATCAAATGGTATAAAACCGCTAAATTCCACACACATATTCCCTCGTTTATACCCAATCACATGCATAGAAAAATGTAAACGAGGAATGCAACGGATTAATTTCATGGTCAGCTCCAAATCATGACGGAAGTCTCGAATGCAAAGCTCGAAACCCACTGTTGCACTAAAGCACAAAGTTGACCAGATAATTATCCGGAAAAGAAGCTTGTTGCTAGCGTTGAAGGATATGCCCAGGCTCAAGGTGCACCAACATTAGTGTAGTTGCTGACCAAGTTTCATTCAAATTCCTAAGTTAGGAATTGGAATAAAGATCTCCAGCAAGCAATTAAGTAGGTGAAGAGACAAAGTTTGTCATAACTTTAGTTGAAGGTTGGTTTGATCCCACAAGGACAAACTACTTATGGCTTGAATTAATTCATGGGCATGATTGAATTAATGCTTGTCTTCAAAATCTTTTGGGTGGTCATTGTTAATCGTTGGGCTAAGATCAAATCAAGACACGGAGCAAAGTGGAGGAAAAAAACAATACAAATATAGACAACTTCGAACTACTTCAAAACTGTGGATGCAAACCATCTCAAAGTACAAAACTCGATGGACTCACCACTTCAAATTGGTGAAACTCATGCAATGGATCAAAATCCCTTTAATTACCGAATTGGTCAAATGGCACAAAGCCGCATCAAATCTCAAATGGCACGAAACCGTATTACGCTCCAACGGCACAAAGTCCTTGCCCACACGAGCTGAAATTGCAAAAGGCACCAACACACTCCATGGGCTCAAAGTCCTAGACCTGTTTTTGAAGTTCGTTTTCCCAAATTAAATCGTTTGAATAGAGTTTGACTAAAGGTACCCCCTTTATGTGATTAGGTGCAATTATTAGAGGTGATTCCGTTATTCCTTTTTGGTACAGCTTTGCACCATCGGTGTACGGTGAGTGGACTTCTTCTAAAATTACATGATTTCATAGTTTAATTACATAAATGAATAGCATGCCTTACGAGTTATGAATTGATTTTATGTTAAGCATGTTTATGAAATATGTTGTTTATTGTCTCGTTTTTTTGTGAGGAATTAATTATTAGCCTATATTGAGCTATAGTTTGATATATCGTATTTTCTATAAAAACCATGAACTGGTAAACTATTTGATGGATGACGATAGGATGCTAGAACATGTTTTAGAAACCCCTCTTTACAGTATAAACGATGGATGACTTTATACTATGAAGTGGTTATTTATGAGACGCGTAACTATTTGTGCGTACCTAGTGGACACTATGCCGCCTGGGGTGAGGATCTGGGGTTGGCAGATAGGTCGGGAGAAATAATCCCTAGCTACGGGTTGAGGGACACGGAGCAGGCATTGGGCCCGAAGTTGGTAATCTTTGGCTACGGGCGCAGAGACCACGGTGCTGTCATAGGGTCGGGAGTTATATTTATTCAGTGATCTTACTGGTAACACACCACGGTTACGAGACGATCTGTGAGACGATTGATGTTTTGATTTCTGCGATATGTCTTTTGAGATATTTTTGGCATGTTAGGGTTTTCAGTAAACCTATCACTTACTATGCTGGTAGTTTTCTTTATATAAACATGGGGGTTAGTACGTTGATAACTGTTTTATATATGAACTTGATCCACTCACCTTTGTTTTGCGCCCTCATTCAGGACTTAGAATCGAGGCATACAATCCCGGCGTCAAGGCACCTCCGCAGCGGCATCTTCGAGTCCTCTTGGTGTAGGACCTACTCATTTATTCATTCAATTTTATATTATTTTTTTTAGTATTCTGGTTAGTTGTAGGCTCTGACACATTCCTTAATGCATATTCTTTATTCTTTTACATTTATAAACCTTATCTATTCCTTGTTCTCAGCATTCAATAAATAGCTTTCGTCACCTTTGGGTGTCGGCTAGCACGTGCCTATTCTGGTATTCAGGGAATATCGGGATCGGGGCGTGTCACCAGAAAAGAGCTTTGTCGTGTAACATTAGTCAATCATACTCCTCATTTAACGCAAGCTCCAACCTTTGCATATTACAATTAATCCTAAGACTAGGAATAGCCAACTTACAGACTATTTACATTTGCTAGGAAATAGCCAACTTAATTACACTTTCAAACTTTGACATGTATACAAATACATTATTTATTTTCTCAAATACAGACATATTTATTGACTAAACTTGGTACAAAAAGTTGGTTCCCTTTACCCCAATGATACGGTTATGTTTGTCCTTTTTTAGATTCGACGATTAAAGATTTAATGGTCATGAGATTTTATGAGCTGGTCTATTATATAATTTTCATTAATTGATAATAAATGAATAATAGTTTCATGACAACCGAGAGAGAGGTATTTGTCATATGAATTTCTTTGGCAATCCACCATTGAAATCTGATCAGTGTTATTATCAGCTGTCAACTCAGTTAAGTCTGAATTGTCAATGGTCCATGACGTACTTTCCAAACCAAAGGTGTAGGGTCAATCAAGAAATCCAAGTCTTTCAATTGACTTTGATTTTTCCATCTTCTCCGCATAATTTTTTTGTATTAATTTCTTTGGATAAACCATGCAATCTCAGAATAACGATGCAAGCCTTGAGAAGTTTATTCATGTGCTTGTTCTTCTTATTCTCCCTCTTAAGAATCTCAGCTGCAACTGCACTGGTCACGATCACTCCGAGTGGATATATAAGAGATGGCGACACTCTGGTTTCAGTAGGTGGAAGCTATGAACTGGGATTCTTCAGCCCTGGTAAATCGAAAAGCCGGTACTTGGGAATATGATACACTCTTTCTGCTGATGCAGTTGTGTGGGTAGCCAACAGAGAAATACCACTTGGTGATTCTTCGGGACTTTTGAAGCTCACCAAGCAAGGAGTGCTGGTCCTCCTTCTCAATAGCTCAAACAGCATTGTGTGGTCATCGAATTCATCAAGAATTGCGGGGAATCCAGTATCGCAACTATTGGATTCTGGAAATCTTGTGGTCCAAGATAGGAAAGAAACTAACCCGGATAACTTCTTGTGGCAGAGTTTTGATTATCCTTGTGACACATTCCTACCGGAAATGAAGCTTGGTTGGGACGTGGTTACCGGTTTAGAGAGGTATATATCGTCTTGGAAGAGCACAGAAGATCCTGCTCCAGGGGAGTTTTCGGTACGAATAGATTATCGTGGCTTACCACAACTTCTTCTTATGAAAGGAGCTAAGATACAGGCTAGAGCAGGGTCATGGAATGGCCTTTATTTGACAGGACATGGCGGTTTTGTGATGAACAGGTCTATTTTGAACATTTACAATGGTTCTCGAGATTTAAGAAGTACCGTTTCTTCAAGCCAGGACAAGTAGTAAGTGGACGATGACTCTCTAGGCAAGAAACGACATGCCCCGGAGATTTACTAGCATTATTTTACGCATGGAAACAACATTCCATCCGATTTGGCTTTATTTTTATTGAGATGGTGTTAGTTCTTTTTCCTTGTAAGACTTTGTAATAGTCAAAAAATAAAAGATGGTTTGATGTTTTTGATTTGAAACGTTCTCAAAATAATTTTTAAATGTTTAATAAAATCACCAATTTTAATTATATCATTTATTTATTTGATTTATTATTGATTTAATTTGACTTTAAATATAAACGATCTTAAAATTGTTTGATTTTTAATTAGATTTAACCTTTGAAAGTTGATAGAAATAAAAATGTTAGTTTAAAATATTCAAATACACATTGTATTAGTTGTTACGACTCTTATTGTGTAAAATTGAGAGTGATAGAATAAAAATGTTCTTAATGAAAAAAATCAAAAAGAAGTGTGTTGAAACAATTCTCTTAAATAAATTAAAAAAGAACACATTTCTCTTGAGATTTGAACTTGTAAACCTACCCCCCAAATATAAATGAAGACAAGATGCTATCAAATGATCGTTTGCATATATAACGCTATATAACGTATTTCAACAATTCACCATAGATGTCATTTAATTTTGACACATAAAAGTTTGACGTGTGCACAGATACATTGTTCAACAGTTGAATCTATTGATTTTATGATTTCCGTTGACGTATAATAAGTGACTTATTGTTTCATGACAACTGGGGAGAGGTATTTGTCATATTAATTTCTTTGGCAATCCACCATTGAAGATGTGATCAGTGTTACTATCGGCTGTCAACTTAGTTGGGTCCGAATTGGAAATAGTCCTGACTTTCTTTCCAAACCAAAGTTGTCGGGTCAATTAAGAAACCCAAAGCATTTAATTTACTTAGATTTTTCTTTGGGCCAACGGTCCATCTTCTCTGTATAATTTTTGTATTAATTTCTTTGGGTAAAGTATGCAATCTCAGAACAACCATGCAAGCCTTGACAAGCTTTTTTACGTGCTTGTTCTTCTTATTCTCCCTTCTAAGAATCTCAGCTGCAACTGCACGGGGCACAATCACTCCGAGTCGATATTTATAAGAGATGGCGAACTCTGGTTCAGTAGGTGGAAAGCTTAATTCTAGATATTTTGATGATTATTTATCAACCGTCCCTTGGGTTAAATCGAAAAAAGGCCGTACGTTATATGACCAAAAAATAAAAGGCCAATAGGTGAAAAAGATTTGGAGATGGGATTATGGCAGACAGCTACACTGTTTCTACTTGATTCAGCAAGTAAACAAGTATCTGGATTGATTTGCGGCTAGCTCAATCAGGACTAAGCACCATCTTTCAACAGGTTCGATATCATATCGGAGATCTTATTTTGCATGCTCTAGACAAGGAGTGTCAGCTCAAATAGCAAGAAGGAGTCTTAATGAAGATCAAAGATAGCCTTTTCAACGCCACTATGTTATAACCTTAATGGCAGTTGCTTATCAAAATACTAGAGGATTGCTATCCTGACAACCAGCTATAGTTGTCATTAAGAAAATAAGCCATAAGAAAATATACAAAAGAAATATAAGTTCCATTATTAAACCCTACAAACAACATAAGAATTTCAGTAAATAAGACCTTCAAAGTGATTTTAGCGTCATTTCATGAACAAAAAGTATCATAATTCTCATTAACGAAAAAACCAATTGGCTAGGGAAAAGAGAAGTGCTCGCAAGACCTTGGATTATACGGCAAAATCAACTTTGTGAGAATGCACCAATAGAGAGTAGAATACTGTGTGGTGCCATGAGTAAATAGTGGGTGAAAGGAATTCATGTGGAAGTTTAACTTGGACCACGGTGTGAGTAAGATCCCATAATGTTTCTAATAATTAGTTTTTACTAATAATTCTAAATGGACAAGATACATTTGTATGGAGTTGTTTTTGAAGTTAGAGAAGTATGAAGTATCATTCTGAGTGACTACACATATATATATCAACTTCTAAGGAGATAATTTTGAAGAGTTTTGAACTTATGGTGGCTGATTAGTTGGTTTATTCAGTCATGGAGAGTTTTTAAAGGTATTATATCGTCTTGGAAGAGCACAGAGTAAATCCCTAGTTAACCATTGATACCTGGTTAGGACGTTCTTCAGACTCGGAGAAGTTCCGGAATAACAAGTAGCACTAAGAATAGTGAATCTATCGTCGAATAGAGAGTATAATGTGTGCCATTCACCACATAGGTGTCTTATATGATTACGACAAGTGGGCTAAGAAAGTTAAAGCAAATGACCATGAAATGCATTAAAGTTGTGTGGCGGTGGATTGATCGCCACGTATAAGTAATATTCTCAGATACAAGGTGATTTCAAGAGTAAATTTTGTTGCCAAATAAGGTACTACAATAACTTGTTACTACTGAGAACCAAATGCCAAAATATAATTCATAGTGGTAGAAACATGAAATTTTTGTGGTCTTATAGTAATAGGTTATATATAGACAAAAGGGATATAGAGTTCAGCAGATCTGAATATCTATAATTTTTGAAGTTAATCTGAGTGCACTATCTACTCGGAAACATGAATACAGATAATTCTCCAAAAAGATTATATTACTTTAAGATACAACACTCACGTAAAATTGCCGAAATATTTTGGAGCATATACCAAGAATATACAACGCATAACATAACTCAAACATGGTATATGGCCCTCAACCAAACCCAGAGTGAGTGGGTGCGAATAGGGAGTTTAGCAGGACTTTTACCAGATACATCCAAGAGTCTCAATTGAAATCTGAGAAGTAGGTTGAGTTGTCGAAAATTATTGCCTTATGGTGCGTTCCATTTTCTAGTTGCACCCAGAAAAATATAGACCAAAAGTTCATTAGCAATTAGATAAAGACAGTACATGCAATAACCACCAATATATTTGGTGCATGAAGATGCATATCTTTTGAATTTACTTAAAGGCAACATTTTGTACCAAAATTACTTTAATAAAGATTGGAATGTGCTGTTGATTATAAATGTAGTGTTTAACTTAGAATGGACTGACAATTTGTTCGAAAGACTTTTCGTTGCCTAAGCTTTACCGATTAACAGTCTCGATTGTGATTAGATTGGCTCGTTTCAAAGTTTTAGATCGGGAAGTGTAATTGCTGCATACGAATCACTACCATTCTTATATTTAAGCGTCATTGGGAATATTTCCTTTTTGTAGAATTAAGAGGTAAGCTTGTGAGCCTTGCGTTTTTATATGAGTTATTTTGCAGTGGTAGATTCATGTTTGGCGGAAACTTGCACTAACATAGCACAGGTGTCGATTTCCAGTTATTTGCAAATCTGAGGACATTCTCAGCCGAGAGTAGGCGTGGGATGCCAGATGTGATGCGTGAACTCTTCGGTGTAGAGCATTACAAGGATAAAACTCATAAAGTATTAGCAGAAGAGCACTAGATAGGACAGAATTTCGCCAACCCGGGTCTATGCACGTTTTAAGTACAAAGAACCTACCTCTAACCAAGAATAATTATACATGGGACGGCCAGCTTTCAAGAACTTATAATAACGTAGAAGAGTTTAGGGTTACTGCGTCTGAGAACAATTTATGACCTTTATTCTGAATGCAATTATGCAAATTAGGGGATTTTTAAAATAAATGATCTATGTTTAGAACCACAGTTATGGCACCCGAATCTATTGATAGAGAAGATAGCACATTACCGAATGTATCTAAGTATATATTTTATACATAACAGTTTTCTCAGATGCAAAGTAAGAAAAGACCATGAAGAGCTCAAGTTTTATCGAAAGCATATGTATGACCAAGTTACTAAAGCTCTTCTAGTACAAGACCTCATAGTCATATGGTTCTACTATGGGTAATCTAGGGCGTTCATAATAGTGGGAAAGACACTCAATACTCAGTAGTCATTATCAGATAGAGAAGAAACTCAAGGCAAAAAAAATAAATGAAAATTGGAACCACTATGTTTCCGAAAAATCTACATTGATAATAAAAATATTGGAAAACACTGAGATTAATTGTATAACCATTAAATAATTGAACTGGTCGATTAGTGTTAGCATTTAACATTTTGTGATTCGCAATTCTTTTTTATTCTATTAGTCTCTGAATAAGGATAATTACATAACCTGACTATTTTTCAGGGAACACAGGAAGATGAGGATATTGCAGCAAATAAAAGAGTTGTTAAATTTAAAAGTAATAGACCATATTAAGTCTAAGACAATTAGATCAACAACATTTAATTTGGGATGAAGAAAGTACATTCGTCGGGAGAGAACATGGGTAAGAAGTGAAATTGGAGGTTAAGTTGACCCACTGTTTAGTGACTTATAAGTTCCACCATTAAGTATTATATAAGCAGAATTAACTTTTATGGACCATCACTTTTCCAAATGCCGCAACAGCTTTGGGGAGAAGGGTTGGCTATTTGACCTGGTGTACAATAACTACGAAGATAGTCTATATTACCAAATAAGGATGAGCTATAACACCACAAAATTCAAGAGAGTAAATATTTAGGCAAATTTGATTGTAAATCCAGGTTTTGGCCCAAATAAGATTAGCCAAGAAAAAGAATGCTCACATGTTGGAATTCATGCAATCAAAATTAGCTAAGTATTTGCCTATAACAAAAATTGTCATTTCTTTTTCTGTGATCCCAAAGATTAAGAGAGGACAATTTCTTGACGATGTTGTCTATGGGTTGGTATGCCATTTGGCACTTATCAATAAAATAAGGAAGTGGAAAGCGATCACAATTGCAGTAAAAAGGCTTTCATAAGACGAATATCTTTTCAAAAAAACTAAAGAGACAAAAGCGTGCGACCAAATATTTACAAAAGAATGTTCCTCATAATTTAAATTCTTGTTGAAGTTATTCTTCTGTATAGCTGCATTTGACTTTCGATACATCGCAATTCTTGTTATAATGAGATCTTCTCGGGTTTTTGTTG